TGATTTAACGCAAATTTTCACGAATTTTATATGCAGTCTGTCAACATTATCATCATCATGCAGTGGCGACATCTGCGTTGAGCTTTTACGGCAATCTTACAATTATTCCGTTAGGTAATTTTAACGTTTGTTGTAAAAATGATGTTTTGGATGCATTTTAACAACATAAAAATTGATAATTGTTGATTTTAAAATTAGACGACACCTACCTATGATCTCCAAATTTAGCAAAAGACACCTCCCTATAGCTGTCAAATTTACTTTTGGGAATATTCCTCAAAAATTACTTTTCCGTTTTCTTTTCAGCTGCGTACCAGGCTTAACTCGGCAAATGGTTCACAGCCTTAGTTGCGTCATGCCCCAATAAGCGGAGCCCTAAAGGCCCAAGCGCAATGACAGCGGAAGCGGAACGGCAGCGGCAGCGGAAAAGCCCGATCTGATTAAGCGTAATTGTCGGATTGAAAGCTAGTTAGTATCAAATTGACTTCAGTTAGACATCTTGATGTCATTTGTGACAACTGTCAAACTTTCTGTTTCTGTTCCGCTTCCGCCCACATTACGTTTGGGCCTTAACTAACGAGCACCCCACGAGCGAATTTACGCTGTACTGCGATGTACCGTAGACTCCCGCCCGCTTATCTGAAAGACACTTCATGCATATTGATGAATCTTCGCGAAACTGCACCAGTGCATGCGACACCTAGGTTTGAAATCCAAAACCACAAAAGTGATGATGTACTAAAAAAATCCATACGATTTGACAGGTAGCAACACGTCATTATTATTTTAACATCATTTCCATCTGCTGGACGACCGTAACGTAAATTCATCAATAAACGGGGTTCATTTTTAATTTGCACTTCTAGTTACCCTAGCACATCAGAAATGCATGTTTCTGGTAGCCTTATTTGCTGTTTTGTTTTGATTTTACGTCCCGTTTCCCAATGTTCCATTTCGCATTCCATATGCATAGTTTATACCACAAACGAAGTTACAGACGACTTTCTCCGAAGAAATTAATTAAAATAATGTGGTTCTCTGTAATAGAATTCTAGTCCACCTTCCGCTCCTCACCGCCAGGTTCGCTAGTATTTTTGTTTTGAATTAATTCAAGTTGGTTTTGTGTGCAATGATCTGGCAACTCGCGTTCACGCTCGCATTGACGGGGTGCTGTTTTCTCACTCATCGAAGGAAATTTTGATTAGAGTGAGAAAGTAAGAAATAGTCAGTGCGGGAGCCGTGTGCGTTACTATAGGTGCGGCAGAAGGAATGTAGTCGACTCTTTCGTTCTTACGCATGATTCAACGTTACGTCACACTAGATTATGCATAAGAACGTTGTGATAATGAAAGAGCTGACTTGTTTCCTGCTGCCTCATCAATCACATTGGTCACAGCACTTGCGATTCTCCATCGGCTCGTCTCGCTGCGCGTATGTGTTTTGCGTTCCTTCCGATGAGAAAATATTAATTTCAGGAAAAAAATTTATAAAAAAAGTGATTACATATAAGATATTATTCGGTGAGTATTTAATAAATACTTTTATTATTACAATATTTATTTCCTGGGGATTAAAATAAAATTGTGTGGAGCAGAATGCAGAATAATTATTCTGAGAAATTCCAAAATGGCTTCTGAGAATCGAGATTTTTCTTTTTTGATAATATATATTATAGATAATAATATTATCTATAATATATATTATCAAAAAAGAAAAATGCCATTTTGGAATTTCTCAGAATAATTATTCTGCATTCTGCTCCACACAATTTTATTTTTAGTGCTAACATTTGAAAACGGCGCAAAAGCCATTTGTAAACAAATGGTTTGTGGGCCCTTTACTCGCTACCCGAAGAACGCCCACGCAAACCAACAGCATCGTCAGGAAGGGGAAAATTTCCCCTACCCGATGTTGCTGTTGTGTCGCGTGGGTGTACTTCAAGAAGTGAGTAAAGGGCCCACAAACCATTTGTTTACAAATGGCTTTTGTGCCGTTTTCAAATGTTAGCACTGATATATTATAGAGAAAAGTTGATCTGAGTAGCCACTTTCGAAAGCAATGTTTCAATTTCCAGAAATCCTGAGGGAGATTTGTGTTTTCTGAAGAAAAAAAAACCTAGCATTGTTAAGCGAAGTGGCGTCCCTCCTCCTTGAGTTCCTTACTATCGCACTACAATAATTCCTCTATATTTTCTTTTAGAATTAACCACCGACACCACCATCATCTACGTGTTCCGGCCAGTGGGTCGATACCCGGTTCGCACATGCCATTGCAGAGTTATAAGGAAATTCTATCACTATGGCAGCGGAATCGGATCAAAACACGCATCCATCCGTTCCATCGCATGAACGTGAGTAAAACGGTATATATTGTAGACCAACAATTGAAAAGGTACTATCAACTTTCATAAACAAAACGTTGATTATTCTTTAACCTGAACGTTGGTGGGCGGGCCTAATTTTATGCTTCATAGTGGGGCGTTGGAGATGGTTGGTTTAGGTCCGGCATCGTTGGATTATGCCGTTGCAGAATAGCATGTGATGAGTATTACTGAGCTTCCCCTCTCTGATGAACCTTTGCATGCGAGAACCAAAGTTCTAGCCTGAAGTGATATTATCACACCTGTGACTCCTTTTTTAAGAGCTACGTCTTAGTTCGCTTACGTATAGGTACTGACGTTGGGTGCAATGCTGCATTATCAAACCATTTCATCGCGAGGAACGTATTGCCCTACTATCAAAGTAACATAGTGTGTAAATGTACGCATTTCGCTTGAAGTAGCTTTGATAATATCAGGCATTCGCTTTAGAGCTGTATCCAGGCAAGTATTAGCAATATTTTTTTACGAGTGTTAAGTTCGTTCAAGGTGAAGAAATTTTTTTTTATAAATACAATAATTCAAAACTTCTGACAATCCGTATTCACAAATCCCTTTGCTGTATAAGTCGTGCATGGCATCTACACTTTTATTCTCGACTGCGTGGAAAGATGGTAAATCATTAAATACGGTAAAGTCACTGATTCCTGTGTCACTCTGACGAGCTAATCCTACATCTTCTTCGTAATCGGCCTTGCGCCGTAAGCAGTCGGCATGCTCTTTGGTGTCGTGAATAAGTAGTTCCTTAGGACGGCGACAAAACCTACAATAGTACGTGGCATTGAAACCACCGGAAAATGATAACATGGATTGTACGCCAAGGTTATCACCCTGCACTAAGCATAAAACAAATCTTACCAGCAAAGGAGTGCCATTCAACATTAGCATCAAACCGTTTTCCTCAATATTTCTGAATTCTACTATTAGAGCTTGCATCAACTTATTCATACCGACTTGCTTTATGTCTACTTTCTTTAGCATGGCTGCGACAAAAATATTTTGAAGCTTTGAACGAAACTCATCTGGGATTGTGGAAAAACTGTAGTAAACACCACATACTGAGTGCCTGGTATTATGTGAGCTTTGCGAATCATTCACCTCATACTCATCAGCATATAGCCAAATGGGAATTATAACATCATCTCTATATTTTTCTCGAATTTCCTTCCACATCGATCCATTTACGTAATTAATTATTGATGTTGATTGTTCTAACTTATTTGTATTACATATCGTTAGTTCCAATACACTCTCAGATTCAAAAAATAAACTTTAGTTGAAAAGCTATCGGCATTATTATTAGATAATTTTTACTGGTTTCATTTTCTTCTACATTTTCAATATCGAATTGTCTTGCAACAGGTTCTTCATTTTCAACTGTAATCATGTTTGGAAATTCGAATGCATTTATGTTTTGTAGGTACTTGAAAAGTTTTTGATCAGAGTTAATAGGCTTAAACATATTTTTCATTTTATCCAAAAATGTCTTAAAACTAAAATTCCTTTTTGGGTAATAATAATTCCACTGGGCGTTTTGTTGAGCCTGGTTGCTCGTATCTAACATTAGTATCTGCTTGCTTTTCTGATGAACGGTGAAGTCTAATATGCTTTTTGAAAGGATATAGCTTTGAAAAAATCTGATTACATGCTCCTACTTTGCACTTGTACCGATATTCAACCGGTTGACCACCTAGAACCGGTGCCTTCAAGTGCAACAAGTATTCTTCAACATTAGGAAATAAAGAAGAGCACGTCGTCATCATACAGCTAATCATGATGTGTCGTTTGATTTGAGATTGCATCTAAAAATGCCTGCATTCGGTAGATACTTGCATATGTTTCACCTTGCTTTATCCCGTATACAGTTCCGCTGATGAAATGCCACATCAACTTGGACACTTTGGAGTAGGGTAATCCAAGCACAGCAGTTAGTTTTACAAGTACGTCGATAGCTCTGCCAATAGATTGCACTTGGTAGTAAAAATCGTTGTAGTGTACAAAGATTCCACCAAAGGTCCCGTCCAATCCTTTCCCTAATACTACTATCTCGGGAACGATATGCAACCCTAGTCTGCGTAAATCTTTTGTACATATGTGCCAGTATGTTCAAGGGACTCAACAAAAACTATGGTGTCTTCTTGAGCCACGCAAATGGTTGGTTTGTATCTGGGACTGGCAGGGATGGGAGTCAACACCGTATTGAGGCTTAGCAACAGCGCACATAGCATAACATCTGAAAGCACACACATAAATATAATGTTATGATATGTATACGGATTACTATTTTATGGTTAATGAACTACCTTACCTTCATTGATATTACTGCTCGTTAAATATTTCAGCAAGCCTGCTGCTGTTGGATTCAATGCTCTCCTTGAAATGTAATCGATGATCCCAGGTCGCAAGGTTTCTAACTTGTGCAGTCCATTGCCATTGTCAGGATACATTTTTCGAAAATCAATATCGTTTTAGAGATAAATAATAATAAAAATTTAGTGTACTCTGGGCAAATACATTGTTGCATCGGGTCAATTAGTAGCCATTCGGTAGAATGAAATATGGTGGGTAAGTTGAATGCACATTATTTGGGTTCATTTCTTTCAAAATCGAATTTGCAATCATTTTACTCGAGTGTTCAGTATTTTATTTCAAAGCAAGCTTAAATGATGCCGGTCTCCACATTGGAAGTGCTCAAATGTACAGGTGTATCAAAAAGTCTCACTCGTACAGGCCTGTACCATTTCGTGCCATGGCGAGCAAAGGTACCGTTCCAGCAGGATTAAGCTATCCCTGAAAGCCTTCATCGACTTGGTTCTCACCGACTGCATCGCCGGAAAGAAATCCGCTTCCGTCTCAGCAATTGTCATGTCCTACAATTAAAATCAATATTAATTTAATACATTCATCATTCATTCAATTAACTAACCTTTACACAGGTGCCTTAATCGTCAACAGGAATCCGATCTTCTTCGCTTCCTGCCTCTTTTACAGCTTCAGCAGCTCGTCCAAATAATGGTCGCCGTTGTACCGTTTTAAGAAAGAGTACTTTTACTTCTAGCGTTTAGAATCATAAGGGCCAGCGATGATCGATTATCTTCATCGGTTTTCTCTTTGCATTACTACAGTTAACTGAATCAATTTTTCGAAATCTTATCAACACAGTATTGCCACACAGATAGTTAGCAAAACCAACATCAAATCTCGATGAACATTTCAAATGGTCCTATCTGCTTTAATCGATTCTCTTCATCGACTTTCTCTTTTCATAACCACTGCTATGCAAACAGATTTTGCGCTAATTCTATCATATAGTTTGATAAAGGGGGTTCTTATCTAGCGTCCAAAACGTCAAATACAACAGGGAAAGGTTTTGCAACTGAGTTATTGACGAAAGAGAAAGTCGATGAAGAGAATCGATCAATGCAGATAGGACCTTTTGAAATGTTTATCTAGAAATGCACCGAGAAAATTTAATGTTAATCCACCAGAGTTCAAGCTGAACATTGCATTAGGTCCTAAGTAACATTGAAAGATTCTCTTCGTCGACTATCTCTTTGCATCCCCATTCCCATGTATTTTCAGCACACAGATCGATAAATATGACAAACACACATACTGTGTGTACTGTGCTCAAGTTATTAACGAAAGAGAAAGTCGACGAAGATAATCGATCAGTGTTACTTAGGACCTAATGCAATGTTCAGCTTGAGTTATTAGTGAAAGAGAAAATCGATTTAGAGATTCGATGATTGCAGTTAGACCCTTATGATTCTGAACGCTAGACTTTCAGGTTGCCGAATTTTCTACACGGCCAAGCAAAGTTACTCAGAGACTGAGTAAAACTAACTCATAGCTATTTTTTTAATTACCCAGTTCGAACCTGGATCAAGTGTGGTTTTAGAGCAAATTTTAAACAAACTCGGTCGCTGTCTCATGCAAAAATCTAACATGGCTGAATCATGATTTTGACACATTAGAACACCTATATGTATTCACCTTGATCTTCACTTTCGTTCAAGCAAAACAAAAGTTCGACAGTGAGCATGCATAAGGGCCAATACGCGATGATCGATTCTCTTTATCGATTTTCTCTTTGCATTGCTACAGCTAAGCGAAACAATTTTCTAGAATTTGTTCAATGCAGAGTAGTAACAGGTTGTATTGGCTATCAAAAGCAACAGCAAACGCACCGAGAAACGTTAAATCTAGCGAGTTATTAACAAAAGAGAAAATCGACGAAGAGAATCGCCCGCATAAACGCGAACCATAAATTGACCTTACCTAAAATGGTTAAAAATTGTTTATAATCCCTGCTAAACTTTAACTGAAATGGTTATGGAACTTTACATGAACGTTTAATGATAAAGTTTCAACCTTATGTATTATGGTTTTGACGTAGAACTACGTCTTTGTCGACTATACTGGGGTGCAAATCAAAAAATATGTGTGGTGAAGGAGTGTTAGGTTTTGAACGCTTGTAACTTTGTCATTTATAGATGAAATTAAAATCCAAATACGCCAATCGATAGGATATTACATTACGAACCTGTTGAAATAAATATTTTTCCAATTTTTCTGTAATTAAACTTTTGAAAATGTACAAATGATAATTTTATCACTGTTTTCATGAAATAAGCCTTTTTCGCAAACCCAGTCATCATAAACGAATACCACTTGGTTGCACATCATTCTGCTTGAATCTGAAAAGATATAAATCAGCGCTGGTCTCATGCCACTGCTCATTAACGCTTCGGACGGCGTGGCGCTTGGTCCTGCAGTAAGCAGGACCAAATCAGCAGCTTAAGGTGGATCACGGCGTGACCACAATGAGGAAAAGCACACACGCCCTTCACAACAATCTCTCGGCCCCCCCCTCAACAACCTCTCCTACCCTCCCCCACCATCAAACCTCTCCTACCCCCCCCCCCCACCATGAAACCTCTCCTACCCCTCTCCCCACCATCAAACCCCTCCTACCCCCCCTCAAATACCTCTCCTAAACCCCCCCCCTCAAATACCTCTCCTAACCCCCCCCCCTCAAATACCTCTCCTACCCCCCCCCCCCTCAAATACCTCTCCTACCCCCCCCCCTCAAATACCTCTCCTACCCCCCCCCCTCAAATACCTCTCCTAAACCCCCCCCCCCCTCAAATACCTCTCCTACCCACCCCCCCTCAAATACCACTTCTAAAACCCCCCTCATCAATAACCCGAAAACGAGACAGACTTTAATGATCCCTTTTTTCCGGGAAATAAATTTTAAACATACCACAATCATTAGTAAAACCAAGTTTTACCAAATTTGAACAAAAAATTGCATTGAAGACATGTTTGATGACATTCAGTTGGTGAATTACACACAACTGACGGTAAAACATATCTGGTGCCTCTATATATGCAATTATATTAACATCCAAAGTCCATCCTATTTTACATATTCTGCACAAAAGAAACTTTCTGCTCCGCCCCATTCATAAAAAACTGCGGGAAATCCTATCAGGTTCTGAACCTGAAAAGATATAAAACAGCGCTGCTGTCATGCTTTTGCTCATTGTCGCTTCGGACGGCGTGGCGCTTGGTCCTGCAGTAAGCAGGACCAAATCAGCGACTTAAGGTGGATCACGGCGTGACCACAATAATGATGAAACCCCCTCCCCCTTTCACAACAACCTCTCCCCCTCCCCCTTCACAACAAACTCTCCCTCTCCCCCCTTCACAACAATCTCTTCCCCTCCCCCCTTCACAACAATCTCTCCCCTCCCTCAACGACCTCTCCTAACCCCCCACCACCACTCATCAACAACCTTTCCTAACCCCTCCCCCACTCATCAACAACCTTTCCTAACCAACCCCCTCCCCACCCCTCAACAACCTTTCCTAACCCCCCCCCCCACCCCTCAAATACCGCTCCTAACAAAACAATATCTATGTGTCAGCCACATAGGGGAAATGACGCCTTCGGCTTGCAAGACTATTTTCGGCAACCCAAATTGAAACACTATTTTCACTGGATTTTCTTACGAAAACACTTCGCTGAATGCATGCAAACGATTCTTTATGCTTTCAGCTTCAATTTGACTATATTTTTACCACTGGGAAAAAGCAATCTAGCAAGGTTTTCTTGAAATGAAACACACACACTACAAATTGTAGCTGATTTCGAGTTGCCGATAATAGAACAGCAGATTTACATGCAGTTCAAATGGAACGGTTGCCGACAATACTCGCTCTCACTAGAGAAGATTGGAGCTTTTTAAAAGCGTTTCAAAACAGTTTTTGACAATTCTTTCGACTGAAATTGTTAGAGCAGCTGGCAGCAAAAGATTGTAAACAAACCAATACTGCATATGTGTGCGTTCCTCAGAGGAAAAGGCTATAGAAAGAAGGTCGCTGCTTAGGTTGCCGAGAATACGTAAATTCCCCTACTTAAAATATGTACATTTAAAAACCATGCGTGACCACTAGACTGATGCAAAATTTGAAATTTTCGCTCCACAGTGCTCAAATGGTTCCAAATTGGGCCCTGATAAGCCTCCCAAAATTTGAACTCATTTAGTGAGAAACTGACTTGGCACAAACCATTTGAAGTTTATATGGGAATTACTATGGAGAAACCATAATTTCAGTTTATATCTATCTCAAAATTCACCAGTTCACTCTACTTTAGAAAATGATAGCTGAACTTGTTGAAAACCACTTTTCGATCAAACGTAAGGAACAAAAATTATTAATGATTCAAGTCCCTGATGTCTTATGATTATGCTCAATCAACTGTTCAGCAGGCAACATTGGTGTTTATGGCGCGTAGAATAGAGGACAAAAATCATGGCTACTATGTCACACTGCAGAATACAGTGTTGCCCACAATACAGTTGCTTAATCTTGCCATAAGATTATCAATCTCTTAAAAAATTAATAACTATTTAATTTGACGTTTGGATGAAAAATGATCTTCTGCAAAGTTGTAGCTGATAAAAATTCCCATAAGAATAGCAATAGAATGTGTTAACAGTACAATGTGTAAAAAGGCAAGAAGACAATGAACAAAAAGTTTTGTTTTCCCATAGTAATTTCCATGTAAACTTCAAATGGTTTGTGCCAAGTCAGTTTCTTATAAAATGAGTTTTCTCTTTTGGAGGCTAATCAGGACCCGATTTGGCACCGTTTGAGCACTGTGGAGCGAAAATTTCAAATTTTGCATCAGTCTAGTGACCACACATACTATTCATTTGCGTGTAAATTTCATGTGTACTTCTGAGTGGATTCTGTTTATGTGTGGTCAAATGAAAATCATGTGGAATTTCACATGGATATTTGTAAAGAAAATGTGTAAATTGTTTTGAATCAACCATAACCGAAACATTGAAATACTTGAAAATTTTAAGATAAAGTATAATAGTCAAAAATGCATGAAAAACAACAATTTTGTGTGGTTCTACGTCATACTGCGGTCGTGTCTAGGACACAACCCTTTACTTTTTTGGAACTGGACCTTACAAATAATGGGTTGTTAAGAACCATTACCGTTCCAAATTCAAAGAGATGAACTAGCCTCAGGCTAAAAATCTCTAAAATAAAGACAAAAAAAAAAAAAAAAAAAAAAAACGTTCCAAATTCTTGTTTTCTCCATACATGTTCGGAAAGAGAACTATATTAGAACCTTTTAACTTATGCTTTGAGAACTTTAATGGTAATGGTTATGGTAGTCAGTAAGGTCCACGAATGGTTTTGTAACATCGATCAACTTTATGTGGAATATATCGCGGATTGGTTGCCTGTAATTTACTGATTACCAATTCACGATATATTCCACGTAAAGTTGAGCGATAATACAAAACCATTAATGGACCTTACTGACTACCATAACCATTACCATTAATGTTCTCAAATCATAAGTAAAAACGTTCTTATATATGTAGTTCTCTTTCTGAAAATGTATGGAGAAAACAAGAATTTTGAATGGTAATGGTTCTTAACAACCCATTATTTGTAAGGTCCAGTTCCAAAAAACCATAATACATAAGGTTGAAACTTTATCATTAAACGTTCATGTAAAGTTCCATAACCATTTCAGTTAAAGTTTAGCAGGGATTATTAACAATTTTTAACCATTTTAGGTAAGGTCAATTTATGGCTCGCGTTTATGCGGGCGATCATCGCGTATAGGCCATTATGTATGCTCACTGTCGAGTT